ACATGTTGTAAGGAGAGACAGGTCTTTAGCGGGGGACATCATGCTGGGTAGAGTAGGGAGACAGCGCAGGAGGGGAAGACCCTCTATGAGGTGGATTGATTCAGTGACTGGGGTAATCCGGATGGGTGTGTCAGAGGCAATGAGATTGGCACAGGATAGAGCATGGTTTAGGGCTCTTGTACCTAGGGTCGCTATGAGTCACAAATGACTCGACAGCACATAACAACAACAACATTGGTTTGCTTAGAAATTTCATAAACATTGGGTTTGTCACTATGTTTCATTCATGTGTTTCACACAATCATTCTCATTCATTATATTTTACAAAACCAATCAACATTGAACCATGCCCACAGTTACCCTGAGTCTTTTGAGATTACACAATGATTGTGGTTCAGATAAATATTTGGTAATTATAGTGATAACAGAAAAAGAGCAAAACGGCTGAGGAAAAAGATTCTGAACTTGAGGTTCATCTTCACTAGGTGTTTGTAAGAGATTTTTATATTTGCAGATCTAAGTTACTTGTTAAAATTGTTAATAAAATCTTTAATAACATTAATTCATGACAGAAGGTTTAAATATTAGCTGCTTTCTTTTCCTTTGTGCAGTTGTTTTAGAGCAATCAACTTTACCATTTATGTCTTTTTCTTTTGTTCTTTATCTCTCGCTGTTGCCTTTTTATAGTCAATAGTATGTTTTGTGCTGTGAAGCTTGAAAATCAAATTTATTGATTTAAGGGAAAGAGGAGTGGATTGGAGGCATGTTTTTAAGCTCTTCTGAAAACAAGAAAAAAAGCACTAAATTTTAACTGATGTTAAAATGAAGCATTATCTTAGTACTAAGTAAATGTTTTGGTTAAATGTGAAGCAATTGGATATTCCAGTTTTGATTGTGATATATTTCAGTGCTTATGGAAACTCAGTAAATACGAGTTGCATAGACCCCTTCTAGGGTATTTTCAGGGGAGCCCTGGTGGCCTAGTGCATAAGGAGATGCACTGCCAACTCAAAGCCCTGTGGTTCAAATCCTCCAGCCCCTTCATGGAAGAAAATTGGACAATTTCCTGTGGGATGTATGGCTTCTGAAAATCTGCAAGGGAATCAGTTAGGAGTTAGTTCTGACTCAATGGCACATAATAGCGAACAACAGGGTATTATCATGTTCTGGGTATGCGATATATTGTACAAATCAGAACAATTACAATAAATTCATCACTGTGCACAGGCAACCTAGTTGTATTGTCACATAACCACTTTTTATTCTAGTGCCTTCAGTAATTCCCTCAGGCACATGTTTGGCAATGGAGAATCTGACTTCTCATTATGTGAGCTTGACCTAATGTCCTGAGGCAATTGTGGCAGTCAAATCTTGAAAGAATAACCTGGAAAAAATTGTCTTGGGCTTCCATTATACTAGCTTTTATTTCTGTAGTAAGGTCTGCAGAAGAACTCAAGTTTGGCATGTTTGAGGTAGCTTAATAGTTTAAGAAGCAAATTTCATTTACCCAAGCTTTTGCTGTTCCTATATTACTTTCAAAGTGGTGATTTCAATCCACCAGCTACTCTGTGGGAGAAAGAAAATCCACTGGAGAGTCAGCTATCAGTTCTGACTCAGTGACAATGAAAGCTTTTAGATTACTTTATAAAAATCTCTCATTTAACATTTTTTACATGATTTTTGTGGCAGATAACTATTCAACAAAACTATTTGGCAGAAATGAAATATTAGTCATAAAACAGAATGTCCTCAGTCAATATGGTAACTACCAGCTTACGACTAAATGCCTGTTCTGTGTATCTGAAAGATATTTGTTTGTGCTGGATTGTTACTGTTGTTTTGAGATGACATCAAGTTGCTTTCAATTCATAGCAATACTCTATACAACAGAAGGAAATACTTCTTGATCCCACACCATCTTCATAATCGTTGCTGTTTGAGCCATTTTTGCATCATTGTCAATTCCATCTCCTCAAGATTCTTCCTCCATGTCACTGACTCTACTTTGCCAAGCATGGTGTCCTTCTCCAGAGTACTGCATATTTGTAAATGTACTGCATATATGTAAATGTACTGCAAGTATAGCTTATTACTTGAATATTATGCCTCCTCCTTGTCTATCAACTATCTCATTATCTGACATTTTGTGTTTACAGCCTTAGTAAAAAAAAATCTTTCTTTCTATTTTGGACATTTTGTACATATTACCTGGTCCCTGAGGAAATCCTTAACAGGTGGACCCCAGATGCACATAGAAATGAAGCCCAGAAAGGAAGCTCCTATAGCATAGTATTTTACCTCCCAGAAGAGGATGAGGAGACCGAAGTGGGACTTGCAGTTATGGGATACCATCTATCTATCTAGCCATGGGTGCCCACAGGGGACTGAGACTGAGGAAGTGGCAGCTGGTCTCCTGAGATAGGCTTCCCTTGAGACTAGGGATGAGAGAACTTCAGGTTCCAAGACCCAAAGTGGGGTCAGAAGGAAACTGAGATTGGGCACTCAGATGCTTGGAACCCACAGGTTCCTATATCAGCTGGCTAACCCCAGTGCAGCCCACACATTTCCTCAGCGCCCCATTCTGGTGGGCACAGGTGAAGGAGATGCAGGCCAGTTGTAGGGAGTGAGATCAGCAGGTGAGTGTTTAGAAGCAGCTGCTGTTAAAAATCAAGAGCAGATAAGAGGTGCATAGCAAAGTGGACACAGAGAGGGAGTGGAGGGGAGGGAGGAGATTATACAGCAATAAATTGTGGTTTTTTTTAAAAAAAGAGTGAACTGAGGAGAGTAGGAGGAAAATATGCAACAATGCATGTATGAAAATCCAACAATTTTTCTGTAAACTTTCATTAAAATCACAATTTTAAAAAAAATATCAAGAGCAGAAGCCAGGCCTGGCTGCCATGGCCTTGGAGGAAGCTCTGTGACCTTGTTCTGGTTAAACCTGTGGCACATTATTCAGTTACTTAGCTTTTACTTGCCTGTCTTCTAAGATTTCTGGAAGTTTCTCAAGGTTAATGTGGCCTTATATTTGTCTTATTAGGACTCATTCCATTTTTTGGTCCTATTTCTTTAATATCCACTTCCTCTGCTTTGTTGTCAACCTCTTGACTTTGTGTTTAGGGTTTCCCAGTGGACTCTGAATCCGTATTTCCACTTGACCACATTATTTTTTTATATATTTGTCATTCTGGGTGTTGGACATCTTGGGAAGAGTTCAGCCTGGTGGGGAAAAAAAACTATTTCTGGGATAAAAGTCAAAATTTCTTGTTCTTCCGCAAATTAACATGTTTGTGTTTTTGATACCTTTTATTCGCCATCTGGAAATTGAGGAAGAATATAATGCCCATCTTTGCTTCAAGGCAGCTTTGAAAATCTGCGCAGCGGATATAAAAACCACTCATTACGTGGATGCCATAAGTCTAGTCATTCTCTACTGCTTGCCCTTCTGTATTTGTGAAAGAGGCTCTGGTGACAAAGTCCATGTGGCATTGCACTGTCAACCAAAAGTCTATATATACCTTTCTGGCCATTTGAATCCACCAGTGGCTCCTTGGGACAAAGATGAGAAGCCTCCTCCTGTGGAATTTATAACCTCAGAAACCTGCTACAGAGTCAGCTGTCAATCAGTTGTGACTCCACAACAATGAGTGAGTGAATGAGTAATATTTGTCAGAATACTTATTTCAACCAAAATGGTCCTATTTCATTTTTATTAGCTTCTTCCATTAGCTCCAGGAAGGCATCATGGGACATGAATTTTGTCTTTCTTGTTCCACATTGTAAGTCTTATTACCTAGAACAGCATCTGGCATAAAATGTGTGCCTAATAATGTGTATTGCAAGAATAAGGAAAGTTAGTGTTTTATGGAGTTCCTGGGTAGTGTAACTGGTTAATGTGTTTGACTGGTAGCCAAAAGTTGGAAATCTGAACCTATGTAGAGATGCTTGAGAAGAAAGGCCTGGCAATCTATTCTGAAAAATCAACCATGCATATCCCAGTAGAGCACAGTTCTGCTCTGATGCACGTGGAGACAGCAGCAGCCTGGGGTAGTGTGTGTTTGTAGAGTCAGCTAGAAGATCATCTACAACTTGTTTCAGGAATCTTCAGTCTGTTTGCTTGAATCAGTATTCAGAAAACTTTGTTGTAATAATCATGCATGAAGAAATATTTGGCGGTTGATTTTGTTAAATGCCATCGAGTCGCTTGCGACTCATAGCGACCCTATGTACAACAGCCCTAAACTCTGCTCTGTCCTGTGCCAGTTGCGCTGTCTCTGATACAGCCAACCCGATTACCCCAGTCACTGAATCAATCCACCTCACAGAGGGCCTTCCCCTCCTGCACTGTCCCTCCACCCTCCCAAGCATGATGTC